GAGTTCCTATGAAATTAGCATAATGACCAAATTGTAAGGTTAAAATTTCGTGCATCGCGAAATTGTCGCGAGAATGCAAAAATTCGATCAATTCTTATGTCACTTTTTGGGGTGTGTCCCCCAATTTTTTATTATTTAAATTGTCGCCATACACTCAAAAATTGAAAAGATCAATTCTTCCATCGATATGTCCACTCCAATTCAAAGTAATGGATCGGAAGATAGCACCTCCGAAAGCGATGTAGAAAAGGTTGAGGAAGTCGGGAAATCCGAGAAAGTAGGTCCAGTTAAACGGAAGAGTAAACGCCGGTTAGAATTAATAAAAAAATAACCTTTTCTTCTTCAAAACCACGCTTTTGTTTGAAAATTAATATATACGACTTTTGCACCGTTTCAAGACCAGTGGAAATTTCGTCTAAAAAACCAGTCGGTCGGTTCAGACAAGTTGTCGACTTACCCTCGAATGTATGCATGTACGATGAGATTCTTCATGATTCTATTTCCGTCGTAAATTAATCACTTATTAACAGATAAAGAAAAGACGTGACCCACGTTTCGATAATCTTTCGGGCAAATTTAATGAGGATTTATTTGAAAAATCCTATAATTTCTTGAATGAGTACAAGGATTCAGAGATCAAGGAACTTCAAAATCGGATCAGCAAAGAAAAAGATCCGGAAGAAATAGAAAAACTACGGCAATTGTTGTCGAAATTGGTATTATTAAACATCTTTTCGCGTGTATATTCTTTGGGGGAGTTTGGCAATAAATCGTTAACCCGATAGCATTTTAAAAACGTAGCAATCGAAAGTAGCACATGAGAAGCAATTAAAACAAAAAAAACTGTTGAAGCGTGAACGAAGAAAGGAAGAATTAGAACTTGTTTCCCGTGGGAAAACGCCATTTTATATTAAGAAATGTGAGGAAAAGTTTATGATATTAGATATTATTATTATTAATGTTATTTATTGATCAAAATATAACCTTTTGAATAACAGCTGACGAGAAAAAGCTGGAACTTATTGATAAATTCGAAAAAATACAAAAGTCGAATCCTAAAGCCGTTGATAAATTTATAGAAAAGAGGAGGAAACGGAATGCAGCTAAAGAACACAGGCGTATGCCATTTAAGCGACGGAGGGTTGAGTGATTTCATTCATCAACTATGTGCAACGATCTTCTCTCGCGTTTTCTAGCTGAATTACGGATTATACACTCCCAACATGTAAAATGATATTTTTCATGTGGAATCAGTATTTATAAAGAAAAAAATTATTAAACTTAAGAATTAATTTAATATATTGATATTTGTTAATATTAGATAATAATTTATAAACTTTGTATTGTCTTTTTTATGGTTTGGTCACATGATAACCAGAGAACTTATATAAATAGTGCGTGGATTTAAAAAAACGCTTAGCTTTAACACGAGAATACGGTTAATAATGGCTGAAATTGAATTAGTCACCCTTTTTCAATCAATAGGCCTGACCGAACAGCGAGCAAAAGATACTGCTAAAAATAAAAAACTTGCACCAACCTTGAAAACGACTATTACTGAGGCTGGTTATGCCGAAGGCGGTTGTGATAAAATTGTGGGCGATCTACTTTATACGCTTGCTTCAACTGTGAGTAAGGATGCGACGACGCATTTGGGATATCTTGCACGCGCTATTAGTGGAAACAAGTTAAAGAGTCAAGATCAGGTTGCTGGTAGGGCAACTTGCATTCACGCATTTCAAGCGATAGC